TGGGGGGGGGATGAGGGCATGAGCGGAGGGGGGGGATGTGGTGACAGGGACACATATGTAATATCTTAATCAATAAAAAACATATTAAAAAAATATTCTGGCTGGAACTCACTATGTTAGCTTATATTGTGTTGCTCTATATACTATGATAATTTCTCATTTTATTCAGCTCTTCAATCCGCTGTCAGCTCTGGCTAATTGAGCCACCCTCCTGGCTACTTACTCCTTGGTTTCTCTCTCTCTCTCTCTCTCTCTCTCTCTCTCTCTGTGTGTGTGTGTGTGTGTGTGTGTGATTATCTGAACACTTGAGTTTTAAATAATTTTCTTAATTCTTGCCCTTTAGCTAGACTTAATTTCACTCTAGAAACTGGTTTAAATAGTCAAGTAGTCACAACCCCAAGCCACATTTCTCTGCTTTGTCTTTGAGGATATTAAGAAAGATAAATCAAGATTTAAATACACAGTTCAGGACAAAGTGATCTATATTTTCCCTTTCAAACTGTCGGCAGCTCAGAGAACTGGCTTCATAAGGCACAAATTAAGATTTTTTCCTGCTTCGGTCTCCTTGCAGTGAATCTATGAGCCAGAATTAGAGTGCTCATAGGAAGGCATTAATACTTGGGGCATCTATATTCTAAAAGGCCTGTGACCCTAAAGCTGTAATGGCCAAAGATTGGCGTGGGTGGGTGGGGCTGTAAGTGTGGCGGGGTGTGCGTGGGTGGGCAGTGCCATGCGATTCCGCGCGCTGGGCTTCCACTAATACATATGAGGACAAATTTAGTGAGATTCACTGTTTATGCTACCAATGTCAATTGTCTGGGAATGTTTTATACTAACAGAAATATAGGTAAAGAACACGGAATTTATGGGAGGTACTAAAAAAAACACTCTTATTTTCTGTATGCCATGATTTTCATTTTCCCTGGGAAATATTGATTTAAAACAGCTATGAAGTGATAGAATTCTCTTCCCTTGATAGTTATAAAATTAGGAGAAAACATGATCTGTGCTCTCAAGGAGATTAGAATTTAACAAAGATTCGTATCCTAACCAATACCAATGGATGCATCAATAAACACATGGTAGAAAACAAATATGAATAAGTAAGGATACTCAGGGGGCTATAACTCAGTGTTAAGAAATAGTTGGATCAGAATAGGCTAGGCCAGTGGTCGGCAAACTGCGGCTTCGCATGTGGCTCGCAAGCCGCGGTTTGCTGACCATGGGGCTACGGTAGGCAATGATATTTCAAGACCGAGCAGCCTCATCAAAAGGAGAATGTGGCATGAATAAACATTTCCTTATTCAGAGGTTTATTTTTCAAAATGTATCTTTCCATACTGTGCACTTGAAGTATTACACTGGACGCTGTTGGTGCCCTGCTGAAATAAATACTCTTTACCAGACAAGTTCATCAGGCCTCCAGCTGTTGTGTTGGCTGCAAAGTGCTCACAGCTGCCCCTACTCCGGAGAATCATCTGAGCTCAGTGATCAAAAGGAGTGGCTCCCAAAAAGGTAACATTAATTTCACCTGGAAATTTGCTATTACTACAGATTCAGAACCTACTCCAGAACTACTGAGTCAGACACCCTAGGGTGGGGCCCAGAAACCTGTCCTCTGTAGAGCCCCAGGCGATTCTGATTCACAGTGAAGCTTGAGAACTACTGTGCTGGTTCATGGGAGCCACCTTGCCTGGGAGCCCGGCACCACCCCCACCCTAGCGCCACAGATGATGACGATACACACTGCAAACGGCCAGCCTCCTTGCCTCTGGAGTGGGGCGCACTCCTCTGTGGCATGATTTATACTCCAGAGAAGCAGTTCACAAACTATGGTTCCTCCTCCAAATCTGTCTTCCTGCCTTTTTTGTAAATAACATTTTATTGGAACAAACCAGGCTCATTTATTTTATTGGCTACAGCTGCTTACATCTACAATGGCAAGGTTGAGTAGTTGCAGGAAAGACTATCTGGTCCTTTACAGAAAAACAAAAAACGGTTGATTCTTGTTCTAGAGCAGCGGTTCTCAACCTGGGTCGTGACCCCTTTGTCTGTCAAACAACCCTTTCACAGGGGTCGCCTAAGGCCATCCTGCATATCAGATATTTACATTACAATTCATCACAGTAGCAACATTACAGCTATGAAGTAGCAACAAAAATAATTTTATGGTTGGGTCACATGAGGAACTGTATTTAAAGGGCCAGAAGGTTGAGAATCACTGTTCTAGAGTCTTGCCTAGTCCCAACCCATCAGACCAACACTAGACTTCACTTGACACCAAGTCCTGGCTTAGCTCTCTCTCCTCCATTCTGCTTCCTTCTCTCTTACAGATTGCATCCAAGTCTTTGCCTCAGGCTCTGCTTCTTGACAATGAAACTTGACAAATATACTCGCATGCTTCTTTATTTTCCTGCTACTTTTTCTGTGTTTGCATTGGCATTAAGGGGGCTGTGAAGTTTCCCAGACATGCTCAACTTGCTCAGTAGGCAGTTCCCTCCTTGTTGGTCTTTTGGATCAGAGATACTCCTCTAAGAAAGGGATGTGTTTCTCATCTTTGCAACCCCAACTTTTCTTTCTACCCCTTCTCTAATAGGGTATCAGTGACTGCTTGGAACTGTCTTTACTACCATGGTTTAAGGGTCACATATTATTTTATTTGCATTTATATTTATAGAGTACCAGGAGAGTCCATGAAATTTCTCACCATATGATATCTGATTTGGCCAATGGCCAAGGACCTCTGGAAATACAATGAAAAGTAAAATAAATACTCATCCCAACCACTAGTGATAGTAAACTGTGGGCAAGAGTTGAGCTAAGATATTATTAAAAATAAAATAGATAACATATTTTGTCTCCAGTTTGCTAACTGTCCTATCAAAGGAATTAAGTTTTAAGTAGCACCCAGGCCTGCAATGTCCATCCTAAGTTGTATACCTTCTTAATAATGAAGCAGCACCGGATTTTTTTTTCCATTAGGGTGATGTTTTCATTGCGTGATACTTGCAGTTGATGCTTAGAAAAATATTCATGGTTTCTAATGCAGCATGTTTTAAAATAGTTTCTTACAGGATAAGGAAGTAGGGCTAACACATAATGTGAACAATATAATGTCAGAGTCGAAATAGCAAAAGTCATTTTCTGGAAGGATAAAGAGCTGGAATGAGAAAGAGAGAGAGACATTAATGAAACAAGATCAAGCATAATGAGGTTGCACTTTGATATTGGCTGACGATTCAGGCTGGGATGAAGAGTGAAGGGACTGTTCTTGTCTGTGTTATAAAGTCTGTGACTATTCCGCAGGACACAGAAAAGGGATGATTTCTCTACCCATCTTAGAAATCCCTGTTTGCCGGTCAGAAGACCACTGCAGGATTTTCAAATTCATGCTTTCATATGGCTTGTAAGAAGCTGCTATATGTGTTGTAGTAGAATGATTTCTTCATCAGAATAGGAATTTTATGAACTGAAGTTTAATTTAGAATGTCATTTGTTGATGAACTTCAGTAAAGTATTTTACATTCGAGGGGCTTTTATCAAAGCCCTTTTCAGCTTCCCAGTTGATTAAAAATCATTGTTGAGCACTAATAGGGTGAATAGTGGAGCACTCAAGATTTATAATTACATGCTCACATACAACCATTAGATTTTAATACAGTCATTCAAATCCTGCAATGATCAATATAATGGAGTAATAGGTAATAAAACACCACATTTGTATATCATTCAAAAATTCTCTCAAAGTATATTCATGACTTTATTTTAACTGCACAACAATGCTGAAAGGGGAATAGATATCTACTTAATTAATTAACTTAATCAAGCTCAATGTAAACTTAATATAAAAATTAATGTTTATCCCTTTTTCCCAAGATGTCAACAGTGGAAGAAGAGTTCCCGCTGCCGCGGCTCCCAGAGCTGTTCGACACTAGCCAACAAATTCTGGATGAAGTGGAGGAGACGGCTGAACCCAGCACTTCCAAAAGAATCCAAAAGAAGGTATCGGAGGGGCTAACACAACTTGAGAAGGCAGCCGAAATGTTATCAAAACTCGACTTGTTCAGCCGAAATGAAGATTTGGAGGAAATTGCTTCCACAGACCTGAAGTACCTGCTGGTGCCAGCACTTCAAGGCGCGCTGGCCATGAAGCAGGTCGACCCCAGCAAGCGTCTGGATCATTTGCAGTGGGCTCGGGAACACTTCGTAAGCTACTTAACTCAGTGCCAATTCTACCACGTGGCAGAGTTCGAGTTGCCCCAAACCAACAACAACCCGACTGAAAATAACACAGCTCTTTCCCCCGTGGCCCATCCTAGTCTCCTTGCGATGGCAACTAAGAGACAGACGAAAATAGAGAGATACAAGCAGAAGAAAGAGGTGGAGCAGAGGTTGTCCGCGATGAAATCTGCCATGGAAAGCGGCCAAGTAGATGATGAGAATGTTCGAGAATATTACCTCCTCCAGCTCCGAAGGTGGATTGTTATCAGCTTAGAAGAGATTGAGAGCATCGACCAGGAGATGACAATCCTGAGAGGAAGAGGCTCTTCATCAGAGGCATCGGCTTCACCCTCATCTCATCAGGACAGGCCTCCAGGGAGACCCTTCATTCTCACTCGGAACGTGACCCAAACCAAAGTATTTGGAGCTGGTTATCCCAGTCTGGCGTCTATGGCGGTGAGCGACTGGTATGACAAGTATGGGAAATGTGGAACATTACCAGATCAGGGCATACCCAAGACAACATCCGAGGTCAAATTAGTAGCTCAGGGAAAGGAAGATCAGAAACAAAAGAAGAAAGAGGAGGATGAGCAATCACACAGCCAAGCTCGGGAGTGGGATGACTGGAAGGACACCCATCCTAGGGGCTACGGCAACCGACAGAACATGGGTTAGTCTTCCCACAACAAGACGGGACTGTGAGGGGCACATTTTCCCCATGAAGGAAAGCTGTGCTGTCTCCCCCTCGCTGGGTTCCTGCTTCAGCTCTGTACCATGAAGGCAGTGATGCTTAATCTTGCTTTGTGTTCAATAAAGTGTCAAGCAATTAAGTGTGTATTTGTTCTCTAGATGATGAACCAGCAATTTTGTTTTGGCATGATCATGCTCATCATGACGTATTCCAGTTTCTTAAGTGGAAAGAAAAGAGTATTGAGAAAGGCTATGTATAATCAATGGCTAAATGAATTCTCCTTAAGGAATAAAAATGTCTGTTCTATTACATGATGAGCCTGTGCAGAAAAATAGAGAAAATAAAAATTAATGTTTAATAGATAGATAGGGGAGCCATAGGTAGGAGTACGTGTTTTAGACAAAACCACAAAAGATTGGGTTCAAATATAAGCTCTGACTCTTACTACCTTTGTAGCATAGATTATGTTATTTGACAGACCTGAACCTCATCTTTAAAACAGACAAATGTGTTCTTGAGTAACACCTATGGTTATATATGTAAACTACTTAGAACAAAGAAAATGTTCAGTGAATGTTGCTTCCTTTGCTGTTCACTCTCAGATGTATGCCTCTAAAATTTTCAAATTTTCAAAAGAAGCTTCCAAGTTAAAACATCTTGTAAAATGGGTCGTTGATGACTACAATAGAAAAAAAAATGCTATCTAAAAAAGATCTACCCAAAAATAGTGCCATTAAACCTAGGTGACTTCATTCAGCTATGAGTTTCCAAACATCTAAAAGGAAACGTCATCAGTTACCTGATGTTCACTACAGACAAAAGGAAGCTTGCACATTACACACACAAATAAACCTTAATT